AAAACACTCCACATATTTTTCCAGTTTAGCTTATCATTATATTGGTCTAATAGCCTCTGATTTAATACTGATTTAATGCTATTTAAGTCTGCTCATGCATATTCATAAACTGTTGTTGTAGTTATGTTAATAAAAGATCTAAGCATATTGTCTATAATTTTGTTTTTTTATAATGTGAAAAATCTAATTTTACTTGTTGTTACTTCTTGGGCTTTGAGAATTAAGTCTGAAGAGAGGTCTTCTTTAGCTAGCTAATCTGTTCTATTATTTCAAATATTTAAACTGTGATCTTTTACTTTGATCAAATCTAGCTTAATTTCTTTTATTTTATAGCAGTCTGCAATTTGATTGATTATGCTATAATTTTTTGTTTTAAAATTGCTTCTTAGCTTTGAAAGGCCTTTAAAGTTCTGAATTCCTTCAATTGCTGCCTTGCTATCTGAGAATATTCTAACAGTTGCTTCAAAAGGTACTACTAAAAGTACTGTTCAGATCGCACCTAGTTCTGCATGTATAGATAAAGGCTAATCTGCTATACTACTACTAAAACTAATATTGGATTCTATCCTACTATTCTCTGCTACTACCCAACTGATACTCATCTTTTTAATTTCTCTTTCTTCTAAGTTTTCTACTACTAGTGAGCCATTTGTATATATATCTAGTTTCTCCTTTCCTTTGAGTAATCTCACTATTTTACTAAGCTTATTTTATAAATTATTATCTCTAATTACTCTATGTATAACTGCTTCTTCTATTTCTATAATACTAACTTCTATGTCTTTGCTATTATCTATTAATTTAGCATTAACTACTTTTCTATTATCTTTATAAGTCAAAATTAGTATTATAGTAGAGGCGAGCTCATTATTTCTATAAATCTTATTAAGTACCTAGTGCCAATTTGTATACTTAAGTCTAATCAAATAGCTCATATCATTTTGTTTCTCTAACTTGCAGCTTCTGTATATGATCATTAATGTAAAAGTTTCTGAATTATCATTTTCTTCTATTTTTTAGTGCTCTACTATAAAGTACTTAGATTCTTTTTTTGTAACTCTTCCATATTCAAGTTTACCTTCCTTCTTAAACATTATCCATTCTTTTTTCTTTTTATCTGCGAATACTTTTAGTTCTTTACATCTTATTGCTGAAGTGTTTAGCAAATCTATCTGGAACTCTGCCTTCAGAACTCTTGAGCTGCTATCTTCGAGGACTTTTGTCTCCAAATCTTTATACCAGTTTAGTTTTCATCATCTTCTCTTATACCCTCTAATAGTTTTGACTTATTGCTATATTAGCAAGTTATTATCATTTCTTGTAATTAGTTGCTCTAATACATAAATATTCATATTATTGCTATTTCTGTAGTTGATTGCTTCTTTTCTCTCTAGTATACTTGATAGATTTGTGCTTTTTAGGTTTAGACTAGTTTCGTAAAAACTGCTTTCCTGAAAACTAAAACCTAGTTTTTTTGCCTCTGCTATCACTTTAAAGGCTAGGTTATGTCTGAGAACTATATTATCTAACTTTATCTTACTGCTAGTATATTATTTGTAACTTTTAAAAAATACATTTTGTTATATATATATATAAGTTAACAATTAACTCTTCTTACTAATTATCTAAACTATTATAGAGCAAATATTTTTTAAAATACAAAATAATTTATAACTATAAGAAACTCAGCAAAATAGTAGTTATTAAATAGAAGCATAAGTTGTATAGCCCAGTATACTTTATAAGAAGCAATAAGACCTAACAGGTAATAATACTATTATTTTAGCTAAAAGTTTATTTTTTTTTTGTTGTTAAGGCAGCTTATATTGATGAAAGAATTTTATTAGAGTTGTCAACAGAATTATATATTAATAATCTCTACTGTTTGTAATTACATAAAAAGTATACAACAAGCTACATGTATAACTTTAGTCATTATCTATTTTAAGTAGTCTGCTGTACAGGTATTAAGCTATCTAATTGGTTCTACACTATATTACTATATTTGTAATCTACCTGTGAGTTATATATTTACTGTAAATACTCTATTCATTAACCCATACAGATCCAACCTAATGTCATTACAATACCTAACTACTTAAGTTAGCTAGCTTGTTACAAATCCATTTATTCAGAATAGCTTAGATCTTCTTAGGATATATTATACCAGATACATTACTAGTATTGTAGAGCTAGTTAACCTTGAAGTAAACCTACTAAAGTAGTTTGTACTTATTTTACAAATTTACTTAGTTTAGACCTTTATAGATATTTGTATGATCCTAGATTCTACTGTAGTTCTCTACTAGTTAGTTAATCTAGTCCTTTTTTAGTATTCAGCTAGTTCTAGTTACCTTTTGTCTGGAGACTTCAAAACCTTCTACCTTTATTAAACTGAGTTTTCTTCTCAAATTAGACTTTAGCTGATGTAGTTCTGTCAGAAGGCTGTACTACTTTACTGACTCAGGATTTCTATTATGCAGGTCTCCTGCTCATATATCCTATTAAAATTTATTCATGTAATGTTATACTATACTTCTAAGTTCAATTGATTTGGTACAACTCAATTTACAGAGGTATGCCTTCAGAAATAAACAGAGTTTACTGTAACATATTACTAAGTCTGAGAAATTATTTAAATTCATTGACAGTAGGATTTGAACTCCAGATCTATTGCATAGCAATCTGATAATCTAACTACTATACTAGATTACTGGATCTTTTAGCTAAAAGTTTATATTATAGTATTTTAGTCTTATTAATATTAAAAATAAATTACAATTATCCTTTTCTATAATATTTATTTTTTTTATTTATTTTTTTTATTTTTTTTTATTTTATCTTTTTAAAGAAAAAGAAGAAGAAAAGAAATAGTAGAGAGAAAGAAAAAACAATAAACAGTATTTTGTACTAAAGCAAATATATTCTTTCTTTTCATAACTAGTTTTTGTAAACAACTTTCTTTATTCTTTGACTAACAAAACTGATACAATGACTGTAGCTTTTTTATTTTGAAATAAGTAGAGATTCTAGCTCACCTTTAACAAAGAATTAGCATTTATACTACCTTTTATTTTAGGCAAGTCATATCTTGATTATTTACAAGTTGATTAACACAATATAGATTTGCTTAGTAAATAGAATGATAGCTAATAAGAAGTTATACTTGAGATTTATAGTATATGTATTAGTACTAAATAATTTTTATTTTTTATACCTTAGTATAAGCTATAATAGTATGTTCTATCTTGATTATTTTTTTTTCTGCTTTCTTTTTCTTTTTTCATTTTCTTTTTATAATTTTTTTTTTCATATAAGTAATATTTTTTTCTATATTTTGTTATTTCTTTTTTATTTTTTTTGCTATTTGTTTTTTTTATTAGTTAGTTAGAATATATATTTTTTAGCTTGGAAGCTAGAAGAAGAAGATTAGAGAATTAGGTAATCTTGATAAGTATAGTATATAGTAACCTTCTGTTGATCAATTAAATATGACTTTGCTTAGACAAACTGTTCTTTTAGGAGAAAAATTTAACTATTATGGTTAAATCATATCTGAGCACTATTTGGCAGCTAAGTAAGTTTGGAATTGCATAGAAAAGATATTTATATAGCTAGCTTAGTTTAGTTTATATTCATATTATAACATTATTATTATGTTTTCTCTTAATAAATGAAAGGCAAGATCAACTAAGTTCCAAAAAAAAAATAAAAAATAAATTTTGTAAACAAATTATATATATATAAATTGAGTAATTTAAAAGTATTTAGAATTAGAATTTATTAAAGTAGCCTTTAAATTTACAGCTTTTGTAAGAATATACTGCTGCAATATTTATACTTGTAATAATATAACAATAACTCAATAACTTATAAATTGTATTTAAAAACAAATATACTTATAAGTTATAGTTGTATTTTTATAATTATTATAATTATAGATATAGTAGTAATATTTTTTTTATATAATCTATATAAGAAATTTTATTTTGGTAATATATAAGACTTTGCATTTTTTAAACATATCATTTTCTTTTTTAGACTTTAGAAATCTTTTATAAACACAACTACACAAGCAAAATATAATGATTTTTTGAGTTAAAAATATAATAATATATTTAACTAAAATAAACAAGTATCCATATATAGCTAATTTGCTTGCAATTGCTTTACAATATAAAGAATAGTTTTTCAAATACTATTGAATCCTCTAAAGTAATATGCATAGTAAACAAGTTTTGTATTAGTATTAGAAAATTATCAGACTTGAAAACATTATAAACTATTATTATATTGATTTTTTATCAGATTTAACAAGTTATTAATTTTGACAAGATCAGTTTTGAAGGCTAATAGTAGTAATTCTTTATAGATATAATTCTTATTCAAGCTTATTATATTTTACTATTTTGTTATATTATTTAATTCTTTAATATATTTAATTTTATTTTGTTTAAAATTTTAAAAAATTATAATTTTTTAATTTATGTTGTCTAATAATTATTTTTCTTAATCTATTACTTTTTACTAGACAATTTGGATACTGAACACTGAACAAATTCATTTGTCCAATTGTCCAGTTGTCCAATATTGGTATTAACAATTTTTAGTTTAATGTAAATTAGATTAAAAATGATCTAGTATTCTACTAGATAAAATGTTATTAATAAGAGATAAAATGCTACTGCTAAGCTAGTAAGAAATTGAAACCAGAAGAGTAGTAAAGTATTATGTCGAGATGTAGTATATTTACAATACTCATGTTATCATTATGATAACTTTTCTAATAAAATGAAGAGCAAGATCGCCTAAGTGGAAAAAAAAAATAATCTATTAAGTCATTAGACTGTCATGAAGTGTCAATTTTAAAGCAAACCTACCCAGTTATTATAATATAAAAAAAAATTGAAAGGGGTTTAAAATTATTTGTGATGCCTTGTTATTAAAATTTACAAGTTTAATAATAACTAATAAATTTTTTTGTAAGAATAAAGTATTAATTAAACCCATACTGCCCTCTCTAAAAATCTACAGACATACGACACCTCACTCTGCTGACACGCTTTACAGAAATTCTTATAAGTATTATCATTTTTCCATTCGAAATAACTTTCGTATAATGTTTGATTATTAGCAACTACATTAATATAATTAGCGAGGTCTTTCACATTTTTAAAATCAGTAACTTTTATAATTGAATTTGGCGGAACAAAATCATCTATATCAGAAGCACCCATATAGATAGGAATAGTATGACTTTTTAAGGGATCATAAACTTTTTCAGTAACGTAACTGTCACAATTTGAATTCTCAAAAGCGAGAACAAATTTGTATCTCGTAAAAACATCCACCTTTACTTCATACATATGTTCTTTGTAATAGGCTGTTTCACCCGTTTTCATATTATATTTTTCTCTAATATCATCAGGTAATTCTTTGTTGTGAAGACATATGCCAAATGAGTCGACTGCCATGTATTTCATTAATTCTTGTACGTAGTCATTACGATTATTTTTAGGGTCACAATTACCAGCCATCCACGCAACGAGAACGTCAGACTTCTTTCTATCAAAAGGAATGCGAATTTTATAAAATTCAGAGATCTTGTCCTTAGATAACCCATTCGTTGGTTGGAAAATATCAAAAATTTTTGCGGGAGCACCCATCGTAATATCAAATTTACTTTGAAAATTTTTGAGGCCGACAAACCAATAATAACCTAAACCTTCGGTTGGAAATTCAAGCCACCATACTTGACCTGAATTACGCGGGGGCATTTCGTAAATATCATAATATGGTGGATCATCTATTTTAAAAAAGAACGGATAATTCATATATATTACGTCAGCCTCACGCCATTGTGTGTAATTAGAAGTTAGGCGATATTTCACACCATTTGCACAGGTTTCCCAAACATCAGGCTGGACAGCCCAAAACCAACATGGAGCATAACCTTTAGGCCATTCAGAAAGATCAGGGACCTTCTGACGAGCGAAACGGTTAAATATTTTTTGGAAAAAAGGTAAAAGTTCTGGTGGGTAAGGACAGAGATCTTTAGAAACCAACTTCCAAGATATTTCATTAACAGATGCGTATGTTAAGTATTTCCAAAGAAAAATCGTTAATTCTCGGGATTTGGGGCCTATAAGATAGAATTTACGTGGAGAAGTATATTGGTGAGACGGAAGTTTTTCGCAGGAAGAAGGCAAGTAATCCGAAGAAAAGGGCGTCCATGATAATTTTATAGTTTCTTTTGTTGTATTATCGGCCATAATCTCGTTGGTTTCTTTAGTTTTATTATCGGTAATGATCTCAACTTCTTCCTGATTCTTTACGACGTTCCATGGTATAAAATACAGGCCAACTAGTAAAGTCAGTGCAACAAATAATATCGTGGATTTGTAAAAATTATTCGATAATTTGTTCTTCAACATGTTGTCATCGTCTTTTCCACAAAGATTATTTGGAGATATTTTGTTCTAGCAGTTAAACACTAGGGTTGTTATACGGGTCCGTATCATTTCACCGACAATCATTTCATCGACAGCCGACATCACAATTTACTAAAAATATATACCTGAAACTAATAAAACCCTAACCCTAACCCCATGTAATGTCGGCTAAATGAACTTTCGGTGAAATTACTGTCGGTGAAGTGAGCGGCACCGCGTTTATCGTATTTATCAATATGTTTGCTTACATATTCGACATTGTATTACGCCTTAAATTTGATCTAAGTCATACTTTAATTTAATATGAAAATTTTTTCGTTCATGATCCGTCTGTTAGTTAGGATATAAATGCATAAATGCTTATCCGAAACTAATAATTTCTGTTGTACATGCTCACTTCACCGACAGTCATTTCACCGAAAGTTCATTTAGCCGACATTACATGGGGTTAGGGTTTTATTAGTTTCAGGTATATATTTTTAGTAAATTGTCACTTAGCATGATGTCGGCTGTCGATGAAATGATTGTCGGTGAAATGATATGGACGAAGATAATTACTAACCGTAAA